CCTGTCACTTTATTCAGGCTTCAACAAAAAGCAACCAAGCCAGTAAATCACTAAATGGAACTACCAACTTCCTTTGACATGCATGAATAATGCCTTAGCAGTCGGCTCACCGGAAAGATTAGAATGGGAGTAAATACAACCCTGTAAAAGTATGCCTACCCAAGCTGAGCCCAGAACTCTATCAAAATCAATTTCTCCCATTTGACATCTGAGTATTTTGAAATGTTCTAACAGGAAGCAACAGAATCAAATTTCTTTCCAACTTGCTTTCAGCAGAAAGGAAAAGTATGATAACCAAACTCACCAGGTTTTAAATATCACTGAAAGTCTGACATTAAGTTGAAGCCACTTTGATGCAGAGAGAAAAAGATGAAGGCAAACATTGAGTGTTGAACACTGAAATAGGCAACAACTGAACAAGTCATGTTTCACACAAATACATTTCTCTTCTTTTGTTGTATAAAGTTGTAAATGTCCTTGATCCAGTACTGGAGTATAAAATGAGAAGGTAAGTTGTCCATGCAGATTACCCTAAGTAAGATAGTTACAAGACAATAGGATTTTCAATATGGAGAAAAGTTGGTGAATGTATTTTATAATGGTCAGTCCTCTAATAACATCCCTTACCTACGACTTCGTTCTTCAAAACCATTAGAAAATCCCATGTACACACCACTCTATGTGCTGCTTTACATCCCTTTGGAAGGAAATAGAATGTCATTAAATATGTTCTTCCTACTTTTAGCGATACTGTGCTTTCAGTTACCTTTTCTCACTAAATATAATAAACTGAGTTAAGTTATTACAAGTTGTCACTAAATGTACAAATGACCACCTTTCATATTTCTAAATGAATATCCTAGTTTGTGTTTGTTTTCCTCAAAAATATTTTTATCTTAAAAAAAATTGTATCTTAAGTTGATTACTCCCACCAAAATGACAAAAAAACTTTCAGATTCTAGAGAAGAAATAAGATAATTTTTTTTTTTAAGGCCTAGCTAATCACATACACTTCTCTTGGATTTTCAGGTAGATTAAATCATCTTAACCTTCAAACAACCCTATGTGTTTTCCTGAGTTTATTTCAAATGATTTAATAGTAATAATAACTAGAGTTTTCATATTTTACTAATTAACATTTTTATCTTGGATGTTTGGAAGACTTGACATATTTTTTTATTGGTAATAATGTAGAACTTAAAAATTAAAAATAAATAAGAAAGCTAGGGCGTCCTTTTTTTCAGGCTCATGTGGCTCTTTTGGTGATTTATAGATTAATCAATCATCAATGGGATTAAAGGCCATTTACACTAAACAAATTGGTTATGGCTGCAGCAAATTGTGTTTTGAGATTCAGTGATAGGGACTATAAATTGCCAGCCATGTTATTAGACACATAAATCAGAGTTACCGAAAATTGATTAGCTGACTCCAATTTTTCTGAACACACTGTTACTCCAGCTTATTATTTTTTTTCCCAGGTCAGAACAGTTCAACTCTACAACTGAGTGAAGGAATGTGCATTTCTATACCTAAGGCTAATACTCAGGGGTTTTTGTTTTTAATTTCTATAAATGTTCTGTGAAATCAAGAAAACTAGATTTTTGCTTTTGTGTGAAAATTACAGTGTTGTTATTGTTTTTCTATTCACTATTTGAGTATAATTATCCCAGATATGGAAACTAATATATTTTAATAAAATAACTACAAAATATCTCCTGTGTTTAACGATGCATCTATGTTATAATAAATCCAAAATGAACAGTCTCTTCCTCCTTCTTTAGCATTTTCCTGAGATTCTAAATATATACTTCTAAGAACTGAGAAATCACACAAAAGGAAGGCATACACTATATATATTTGTGTTGCTATGATAGACTTTATGATAATTAGCCATAATTAAAATGATAACACAGAATTTGTTTTTAAAAGTGTGTACAAATTATTTGCTTTCTAGATAAATAAGTGGTTTAGCAGAATATTCTGGATGCAAACTTTGAGTTCTGAGTTAGTATGCTAGTTTCCTTGACACTTCTCTCCTCTGACAGCAATATACCCCATACAAAGTTCCTAGAATATTCTTGCATCTAGCTCTCATTTTATTATTGCCCGGTTAGAAATTTTCAGTGGTTCTTCAGTTATCTACAGTATAATTTTCGAGAATTCCATTTTCTCAAACTAGTCTTCACAAACTCTATCATCCACTCAATTCCAAAAAGGGTTTACTACCTAAACACCCTCCTCTTTACTCACTATTGCTGTCTCTACTTCTTGCAATGGTGTTTTTGCTCCTCTACCTATTACCATCGTACCCACCCTTCAGGGCCCAACTCAACCACGATCTTCTCCAGAAATTATGCCCCATCACCTTGGAAAGTACTGCAAACTGAATCAGCTCATTTCATTTATTTTGGCTTTTATTAGTGGACTTACCTATTGTACTCTACTTTTTAAACTGCAGATTGTGTGTGCCTTTCTATATCTACAACAGGCATAAAGTAATAAGAAACTGTTGGTAAGAGCTTTTGATCACAGCATTCCAGAGACAATGTACTTTATAGAACAAGTGTCAGCAGCAAATCACTTGGTAGCAATCTATAACCCACAATTATCAAATGATTTAACCTAAAAACAAACATACCTGCAAATTACAAATGCATTCCAAATATATTACAAAATTCCTCATTCTCATCAGCTGCATAAATTTAAGAACTTGATAACAAAACAAGAAACTGACAAGAGGAAAGGGGTAGTCTTTCTTTCCTAATAGCCCACTACTGAGCTGCACTAGTGGGTGGTATAGATACAGAAGTTCAGATGAGACCCTTTCGAGTTAGAGAAACCTGGTTTCAAAATTTAGCTATTACCTTCCAGCTATGTTATAATAGAGGACACCAGTTGTTATTTGATGCATGTAATGATTCATAGCCTGCAGTTTGCAAAAGACTGATGTAAAATCATAACATGTTTCCTTAATTTTCCGAATATATCAAGAGCTCAGGCTCCCAAAGAAATACACAATTTGAAGCAAAGATGTAGAAAAGAATGTTAGCACTGTTTCTTATATATTCACTCTGTACTTAATCATCATAAATGTCATGGCTTGTTAAATATGCAAGCTGAAGTTTAGGACAGAAATACACATCCAATTAATTGTCACAAATATAAATATCAGAGAATTATTTCAACATCCAGGAAGAGGAGGGATTTTTATTTATTTATTTTTGTTTTGACTCTTAGTGTTAGCTATTACAAGTACTTTAATCTGACCTCTCCCTCTGAGTACACAGAACTGTGCAAATGAAACACACAACTTTATTTATCCTTAAACATTTGGGGCTGGGGAGAGGGAAAGAGAGAATCTTAAGCAAGCTCCATGCCCAGTGCAGAGCCTGATGCGGGGCTCTATTTCACAACTCTGCCACCCAGGTGGCCCCATAAACATTTTTTAAATAAACTGACATTCATATTATACCTTCCTACTGCATGGTTGCAGAGTAACATTTGATTTATATACCAGACTTTAGGATGTTGGAGGTGGCAGGGACTTTGCTTTCTTTCTGTCTGTCTTGTTTTAAATCATGCCACTACGAGTAATTTTCTCTGAACAAAAGGTTTGCCAATGTTCTGCTATGGCTAAGATGTCAAAAATGCTGGTAAATAGTCTGAGGGTTTCATTAAAACACAAACATTTCTACAGGTTTCTTTCTTTCCTTCTTTCTCTTTCTTTTTTATTTTATTATTAAATCTATATTAAGTTTCACACGGCTGCACAACTTCATATGGGCTATTTTTCCAATGAAGTAGAATAGCCCTTTGGTTCAAGGAAATTAAAAGATGTTATTATTATTATTATTAGATATTACACCAATATTTGTTTTGTATTATAATAGAATTTCTTTTATAGAAACCAGTTGAGGAAAAAAATTAAAACTGTAACAAAATAAAAATCCCTCCAAAGCTATTTACTTTTAAAGATATCTACACATTTGAGCAGAGATACATTCAGAGTAATCTCAATAATAATATTAATAATAATATAAATTAGGCAACTGACTTCTGTCTGTCAAATACTTTCTTTTTTCTCCTGTTTTGAATGGTTTTCTAACTAAGGAGTTGGAATTTTTTGGCACTATAGTATATACCAGAGCTAGATGTTGTCAGCGCTGGGAGGCCAAAGATGTGAAAGAATCATAAAAACTTTTTGAAAATTGAATTAACGTTCTGATTTTGGACTCTGTATGTTGCACTTGATTAGGCTAATGAAGACTCAGAATCCAAATGACCCACAATTACCACATGAAAGTAATCATGTCACAGATACAGAAGACAGCCTTGCTCAGAAAATTCATCAAATTGCCTCAGTAAATATGGAATGGAAGAATCTTTGCAGTTCCCACAATACATTAAGCTATTACTAATTTTAGTCTCTACCAAAAATATATGTCTCTATTGATTGGGTGCTGCTTGGTTTAATGCCTCCTTTATCTCTCTTTAGTTTCCTACTCTGAACCAATCTCCCACCCCATATCCTAACTGACATTAGAGTTTGGAGAGAATAAAATTTATATTATCAACTCTGTAAAACAAGACAGGCACCAGGTATTTAGTTCTTGGATTATCACACTGAACTGAAGTCAGCTCATTAATCTTCTATTTTCACCCCAAGATTCCAAATCGACACACTTATGCAATTTAGCAGTAACAGAAATGATTAATAGGTTTCTCTGGTGCTAACCTAATTGCTATGACACTAAAGACAAGAACATTACAGAAGATAAAGCATTGAGACCAGAATTACCTCCCTTCTAGGTAGCAATCAGCTGTTAAAGGCAATTCTTGAACTCCTTTGAACAATAAACAAATTAATGCCACCAAGTATGGTTTTTGCCTTGGTGGATTCAACTACAAGACAGTCTCATTAACAAATCTTCACACCCAGCTAACTGTTTTCTATTTTTCCACAGTTTCTCTTATCAAATGTCCCCAGAAAGAAAGTCCTTTAAAAAAAACCACTAATATTTTTATATTTTACTTCCATATAGCAACATATTTCCACATGCACCATAGTCTCAATTAGCAATAATCGCGCCTCGGATAAACCTCATTGGCTACGATACTGCTACTGCGCAAAGCTGCACCATAGTCTCAAATTTTTGTTTGATGTACATCAAATGTATGTGTAGATATATTTAACAAATAACAAATGGAGTGGGAAAAGGCAATAATTTGAAAAATCCATGCATCAGTCTTATTTGTGCTGTAGGGTAGCAGAATATGCCACCCCAAAATATGCCATTTTGGCATAAGGATTATTTTGAGCTCTAAAAACCATAGAGAAGAAGTTGATATAAGAAAAGCTCTCTGCCTCCCCCTCTTTTATTTGTCTAAAAGCAGGACATAAGTTTATAAAGATATTCCCCCCTCCCCTTCCTACCAGGAAGAACATGAGTTAATCACTGGAGATAACTCTAGACGTTTATGAGCCCAAAGATGGCACCAGAAGAATCTACATAACAAACCTTACTAACTAGCCCTTATCTTTCATTAATTTCCTCAACAATTTGCCTTTCACAATTTGTCACTCAAAAAACTCAAAATCCTTTTAACTTTGTCTTGTTTATTTCACTAAAAATGCACTGTTCTTTTGTTAAGATGATATAGAAGCCCAAGTTCTAACCACCACTTTGAGTTACACATCACCAAGCACTCCCATGTATAAAGATGCACGTGTTAATAAACTTTTGTTCCTTTTCCTCTTGTCAATCTGTTTTTTATTGGTTTAATTTATAGGGCCTCAATCAACGACCCTAAGATGGGGTAGAGGGAAAGGAATTTTTATCCTTCTCTACAATACCATCTATGTATTTCCAAGAAAAGTTCTTTTCTATCCAAGTACCCAAAATATTGTTTCAGTATTTCTTTTTGGCTTTCTCAGTTTAGATAACCTAATCATAAATTGTCCCTTGGGTTACAAAATACCAAAGAATACATACCACAAATTGTCAAATATTTTAATTTTTCCAGTATTTTAAAAAAATGTAATGTCTTTAAGTTTCTCACATCAAACTGAAATATAACTTTTGATCACTTCAATGAATTGGTTATTTTCACCACAAACTGAAGCCTCATCCTAGGCTGTCTTCTCTTTATCAAACCAAATTAATGAATAGATGCCTGTATTTTATATTTAAAGCCCTATACAACATGATGGAAACATGCACTTCTAAATTGAAAAAATGCACATGTGTTGACATTGTTGGCTACATGCTCATTGATATCATCTTAATACAATCTGTAGTACCTGTAATTTTCCCCTAAAATAGAGTTTGTCAGTTAAAAGAAAAATATTTTCTCTCCTTTTGTACTTTATGATTCTAATACTTTATTAAGCTGTTTAAAAAAGACATTCTAGCCTTCTTTAGGTTCTCTACTTGGTGACATTGCCACCACTGAGTTTTTATTATGTAAATTATTGCAATCTGGTTAGCTCCTTCCGTCTTTTTTCTTAACAAAAGGGGTCTGCAAGTGCTAATCAAAATGCTGCAATTTACATATTAATGAAGTTTTTATAATGACATTTTCTTCATACACAGGGTGAGCAAAAGGGAGACTTGTTATCTTTTTTTTTGAGAAAGCAACCACCAAATTTTGATCTTATAAAGTATCTTTAAAACTTTCCAAAGCTGATTGGAATGGCAATCTGTATTTTAATCAGACACAGAATGAAAGCAGTAGGTATGGGCTTTACACATGTGATGTTTATAAGCAATATTTTTTGTATACATTCATGCACTTGTAATTACATAAAATGCTAAGGACGCGTTTGCCAGTGAGGATGCTGTGCACAATCAAGTCCTAATCATTTTCAGGAAAGGAAAAACATTCCACTAAAAGTGAGGAGAGACAAGGAGTGTTCAAAAGCTATGTCAAAAGTGTCCAGCTGTTTTCATAGAATATAGGTGATTTCCTGGTGCTAGCAAAATCCAGAAGAAACATTATAACAACTAGAAACATCTATAATTGCTATGAAGCCCAAGTACGAAGATCCACAAAAATAGGACAAGTGGATAAAATTAGTTAAAACAATCTTCTTAATAATGAGGTTCTCTGATTATAAAAGTACTTTAACCCTTTAGAATGTGTCACTAAAAACCAAGCTGAAAAAAACAAATTAACAATCTGTCCCTAGAATGCAGTCTTCCACAGGTAATATGTTCATGAGTAAAAAGACAGAGATTCCAATATTAATCATTATTTAGTTGATGACATTTTTTGGAAATTCAAGCAAGGAATTAATTTGTGTTATATTTTCTTTAATTATCAAATGAGCATAGAGGCACAATATTTGTAATAGGAATTATTTGTTCAGTCAATAGTAGCACTCGCAAAGGCTTTATATATATATACTTAAGAAGGAAAGGAAGAAAGGAAGGGAGGAAGGGGTTGTGAGAGGGAGGGAAGGAGAGAGAAAAATGGACCAAACATTTTTGTGGGAATTTCTGATTGTATTCCAAAAAATATTTTATGTGAAAAGTTTATTGTCACTGACTAATCTAAAAATACCAGTGGTTTTCCAAATTCTACCCCCCCCTTTTTTTTTTTTCAGGAATTGATGTGAAAATTAGTAATTTTTTCAGATATTTCTAATCATGGTGATATAATAATTATTTTTTTTTCTAAAATGATTTCATATTATAAAAGACAATTAGATATCTAGGGTCAGTAAAACACTTAGAATGTTAATGAATCCTAAATCACTAATTTTAAAAATTATCTAATGCATCATAGAAGTAGTTCTTAAATCTAATAAATAAAATCATACATATACATATATACATATATATGACAACTTATCTTGACTTCAATATAAAAAGCTAGATGTTTATTTAGGAAATGGCAGTTGGTAAGAACAGACAACTCTTGTTTTGAATTCATGGCAAGATACTCCAACAAGTGAAATAATAAGGCAGGTCTTCTTTTCGCAGCAGGACAAGAACACCCATTCAATTGGATTAGATGACATCCTGCCAAGAGCCATTAGTCCAATCATTGACTTGTGACTGCAAGTGCTACCATTTAGACACATGGAACCACTTCCAGTCACATCTGGCCACTTGGGCATGTGAGCTGGCGCAAGAAATGTTTTGGAAAGAATGAAGCCTCCTGACCAAAATATATCAAATCCTTTAATAATGTGGAGTTGTTTCTTTTAACAAGGGAAAAGCCTTAAAAATATGAAATTCTCAGTTGTGCATTTACAGCCCACAGAAAGTTTATTTTTCTTTCTCATTTTCTTCACTTGAGTGGTTTGGTTTCTGAAAAGCCTCAGTCTTGCTCTAGGCCTTTGAATTGTTGATTGCTCATGTTCAGGCATTAATTTCAGGTTGTGCCAATTCATTGAAATTGTACTTAATTTCAAAGAACTTCCATCACTTTCTGGAAGACCAGTTTGTGTGGAAGTGGACAAATGACTTCCCTCCAGGGAACCTGACCTCTTCTAACCACAGGTATACATAGGCCTTTCAATGACAGAGAGTAATTGTTCTAATCTTTTGCTGGTTATCCCACAGATCTCACAATTGTTTCAGCCTCCAAAGGGAAAAAAAAATTTGGCTTAATTTTTTTGCTATTGTTTTCTCCACCCCAATGCCAAACATACCTAAATTAATATATTTGGACTATTAAAACATATTGAACTATGAACTCTGAAGAACTGAATTATATACAATTATTAGTTGTCTGTCTTACTTTTTTACAGTACACTGTCATCCAGAATTAAAACACATTCAAACTTATGCACATACACATACACTCATACACACACATACTCCAGTAAGTCAGTCATAACAAACACTATAGAGACCAATTGTTTTCTAATTCTTTCTTTACAGTCATCAAATTCTAGGCCACTCTTCACCGACTTGGTTTTATTACAAAACTTCACTGTGCCTAGTCAGTTTATCTAAACATTATGTGCTGTGATTATTTCTGGTACTATCTGATTAGGACATACAACAGCTGTAACTTGTCAACTTAATATATTTCTTCTAAAGAGGTGTGTTTGGGCTTATTTGTTTTTAGCTTAATTCAAAATGCCATGAACAAGCTTTCACCCTCCTCTCCCCATCCCAAGAGAAAAGTGTGGGAGACCAGAGAGTGGAAGAATGTTTTACCATTGGGGTGTTTTTCCCCTCCCAAACGAATGATGGATAGCAGAATGTGCCACCCCAAAATATGCCTCTCTAGTATAAGGATTATTTTGAGCTAAAGATTTTGAAAAACTGCAGACACAGGAGAATCTCTGAAAACAGAGTGGACATCAATGCTTTATTAGGGAAAATTAATTTTGAAAAATCTCCATTTGTAAGGTGCCTCCTTTTCTTTACGAAGAAGACAATAAAGACTGTAAATCATAGGAAACTCTTAGCAATGGAAAAGTCACCACGTAAATCTGTATAACAAACCTTACTCTTATATATTGTGCTTTTCCTAGTAACCTCCCATAATTGCCCCCCACCTCAACACATGAGCGGGGGTGAGGGGAGCGCCATGGGGGAACAATTGGTTCAACTAGGCTTTTGCTAGAAAGAAACAAATCTGAAAACACATTAAGAATCTATTAGCCCAAGCCAATTAGATAAAAAGCTTAAAATGCCATCAAGCAATATAGGCAATGCCAAAGACAGAGCTTATTAAGATTGTAGTTGATCTTCTTTTTGACATTTTATTCTTAGATCACATTTCCTACGTTTAAAGTAAAATGTATTTAAAATATATGACACAGAGCTTTGATAAATTTCCTGATCATACTAGAGAATAATTATTTTCACCTTTTAAAGGGCTTGCAAGAGCATAGTAAATGTGTCTTCAACAGACAAAAATATAGATAACTTGCTGATGAGAATGAATAAGAACAGTATGATAAAAACAATAGCATTACCAGGTTCGGTGGTTGGGGGCCCTCTAAATTAAACTGACAGAAGACAGACTAACAGGAGGGAAAAAAAGCAGTTTTAATTATGTACATATACATAGGAGTTCACAAAGAAATTAGACTCAAAGAGGCAGCCAGAATTTGGGGTTTTATATAATATCCCAAAAGAGGGACAAACTGTGGAGAAGAGTCTGGACAAA